TATATATATATGTATGTATACGTATAGTTAAACCTTCTGCAAAGGCTGATCAACTGATTAGAACTTCAGAGATTATGGAGAGTTTGGAATGCTGCAGGTCCAGAGCTTAATTACCATTCATGTCAGGCATCTTTAGCCCCTATACACCTTTGACTCAACATCCTGGAACTAATAGATAAAAACCTTTTGGAATGTATTAACTTAGCACCTTTCACCCAGATAGACCAAGATTTCGCAGACATACACAAAGTCACAGACCTGATTCAAGATCAGCTTAACTCCCTTGCCTCAGTGGGCCTTCAAAATGAGAGCCTTAGATTTGCTAACCTCTCAGCACAAAGAAACTTGCTTATTTTGGGGAGATAAATGCTGTTACTATGCCAATCAATCTGACACTGTACACCAGCTCAGGGCAGCCTAAACCAGTGGCAGAAGGACCACACAGGAGGAAACAGGTTCTGGGGCTGACTGGGAAGCTGGCCACAGCTGCCCCACTCCTGGGCCCTCTCGCCCCTCCTTATAGCGCTCCTCTTGTCTGGCCCTTGCCTAATCAATACTTTCCAATGAGTCTTACAGAATCCCATGACTGAAGCAGCTCATGTGACTGCCCGAGCCACCACCTGGCAACAAATCAATACTGTGTACCTGTTCCACGCCCCAGAGAACTCCTCTACGCCCTCTTCCAATGGACACTGAAGTCTCCTGCCTCTCGATGCCCCTCTCAGCAGGAAGCAGTTGAACTGGTCTATGGCATCAGCCCCCCCCGCCCAATTCCTCTTCAGGATCTGAAATAAAGGGGAGCCCCGTAAAAACACTGAACCACAAAGTGCTTCCTGTTCTGCAAACAAATCCTATCAAGACACCCTTATCGGAACAATGTGGGCCCTAAACCCTTTACAAACACCCCTACCCAATCCCCATGACTCTATTTCCACATACAAACACACTTAAACTCCTCTGCTGCTTGGCTGGTATGGCTGCTGCCAACTCCCACTGGTCACCTAGCCACCCATCATTGACTATGATAAAGGTCAATCTGGACTGGCAAGGTCAGTTGCCTTCTTTCCTGCCTGGACTTCTATTCCTAACAGTTCAGTACAGACAGCATGAGTCCCCTGCCCTACTGAACACCTGTAGTATGGTGGGTCCAAATGGAAATGTGTTCCATGTGTGAAATACACACCTGGTGTCAAAGACTTACATGAAAAAAAACGCAGTACATGGCAGTAATTTTTGCTACCCGGGGCATGCTGCAGTGATATTTTAGTCACACTGGGCTACATAACATGTATTATCAAAGCTAGTTTCATATATGACTATTCTTTTTTTTCAATGAGCCACTAGAACATTTGGACCACGTCCAGGGTCATCCAGGCAATGCAGACCTAAGTCAACTGGTCAGAGGGGACCCCTGTGCCACAGGCTCACCAAAACCTGGGAGCAGACTTTCTATCACCAGTGCTGACCCCTCCAGGGCAGACCTGGGCTCCACTAGCCAGTACACAGGAGGGACTTTTTTTTTTTTTTTTTTTTGGGTCTTTTTGTGACAGGGTCTCCCTGTAGCCCCAGCTGTCCTGGAACTCACTAAGTAGACCAGGCTAGCCTGGAACTCAGAGATCCACCTGCCTCTGCCTCCCGAGTGCTGGGATTAAAGGCATGCGCCACCATACCCGGCTAGGAGGGACTTTCTTCCTGCACAGCACAGCTCAGACTTCCCCAGTTCCACAACACTCTACAGATGTTTGTAGATTGGATAACTTAACAAATTCTGTCTTTGTATGGGGGAGGGGGTGTACTGGGCAAACACCTTACCAATCAATAAGCTATATCCCCAGAAAAAGTTCTTCTGTTTGTGTATATTTGTGTGTATGTGTATGCCTACATGTATGTAAGTGCACCCATGTTGTATAATAACTGCAGAGGTCAGAAGAGGGCATCAGATCTCCTGGAACTGGAGTTGTGGACAGTTGTTAGCCACCATATGGGTGCTGGGAATCAAACCCAGGTCCTCTGCAGGAGCAGCCAGTGTTCTTAACCACAGAGCCATCCCTCCAGCTCCCCAAAGTTCTCTTTGTCTCTTTTGCATTTATTGATTGTGTGTGTGCATGTGGCGGGGTACATGTGGAGATCAGGAGTTGGGTTTCTCTTTCTATCATGTGGGTTACAGGGATGGAACTCAATGAGCTGTCAGGTTTAGTAGAAAGTGCCTTTACCCACTGAACCATCTCACAGGGCCCAAAGCCCTTACTCATTAAGCTACACATCAGCAAGTTAGATTATTGTTTTAAAACCTAAAAAAAAAAACTCAAAATTCAGATTTAATCCTTCCCACTTGAAAGCCAGAAACTATAACAAGCATACAGAGTAAAATGTAGAGGGCTATCAGTGAGCAATGCGTACCTCCCCATAACACAATCAGACTGGCCGGCTGGCCCTGTCAGTGAGAGCCTAGAGCTGCGACCACAAGGCAGGCTGGAGGGTAGCTGTGTCCGGCCCTCCTTAGTTTTCCTGAGCCTGAGCAGGGTGGCGTGAGGCTCTCCTCCCAGACGCAGGCCTGGCTGCACAGCTCCCCGGGGAGCTCTCCTCCTCCCAGGGCCTCCTCCTCTCTACCCTGCCATAACAGTTACTGTACACTGCAACCTGTCAGAGGGTCTGCATCTGGAAACCTAGCTAGAGCCCATTAGTATCCCCAGCAACTGGGAGAAGGCAACAGACGATACGGCAGGACCCAGTCGGGGTGGCAGGACAGCCATGGGGCCATCCCAGGCCCTCCTTACGGAGCACCAAGCTACAGACTCCCCTGAATACACACAGGCTGCCCCCACACACCATGACAGACTCTCACAGGCCTTTGGAGCATCCCTGGCACTATTTTAAAATACTCAAACTTGGGCTGGAGACATGCCTCAGTGGTTAAGAGCATTGACTGCAGAGGACCCGGGTTCGATTCCCGGCACCCACATGGCGGCTACGAACTGTCCTTAACTACAGTTCCAGGGGATCCGACAGCCTCTTCTGACCTCCGCAGCATTGCACGACATGGGTGCACTCACATACATGCAGGCGATACATGCACACACATAAAATAAAAATAATAAATTTTAAAAAAATTAAAATACTCAAACTTAATACTTTCCTCAGCTCAACAGAAAATACTCTAACAAGAAGCAATTCAAATTCCACTAGTTTTCGCACCGCCAGACATTTAAGAGAACCACTCTCCAGGCCCCTGTGAGCACCTACCCTGAGATTCCAGGAGCCCACAGGGATGACTCCTGCTGACCCTGCACGCTAAGCGTCGAATCCAAGCTTCTCCCTATTTCTAGGCAATCCCAGCTGTTCTAATGGCTAAAGTGTGCTCAGCTGAAAGGGTTAACTGGGCTTTCCCACACATCCTGCAGACAGGTCCTCAGCCTGTGCTGCGCAGTTCTTCAGTCTGTCAGCGGAAGCTGCCTGGTGAGGGCAGGTCTCTGGTTACAGCCTATGGGGCAGACACCCTGAAGCTGTCAGTACTTCAGACAAACAACAGCTGGGTATTCTGTGTTAACGTATATCAGCATCCAGAGGACCCCTGATTGTGAGGCCCACGGGCTAGCTCCAACCTCAGCATGGTACTGAACAGCATTTCCAAGTAAGAACCAGGTCAAATTGATTCCCACTCCCCTCCCCAAGAAAAGAGCAAGACCCAAGCAAGGTAGGAGAGGCCATCCAACCAGTTCAACACAAGGTTTTCTCCGAACCTGGATCTCCCCAATGGCTGGATTCTGTTGTACTGAGAACCCAACATGGTTTAGGAGTTTTAAAGAGAAAAAGAGAGAGATGTTAAAAAACAGGGTTTGTATTCATTACTCTCCTGACCAAAATATCTAACAAAAACAACTGAAGGGGCTGGGTATGGCAGCACACGCCTTTAATCCCAGTACCAGCGAGGCAGAGGCAGGCGGCTCTCTGAGCCTGGTCTGTGAGCCTCTCTGTGAGCCTGGACAGCCTGGTCTACAATGGGAGCTCCAGGCCAGCGAGGGCTACATAGTAAGAGCTTATTTTTAAAAAAGGGGGGAAAGGGGGGCCTGGAGAGATGGCTCAGCAATTAAGAACACTGACTGTTCTTGCAGAAGACCCAGGTTCTAATCCCAGCACCCACATGGCAGCTAACAACTGTCTGTAACTCCAGTTCCAGGGGATCTGACAGCCTCTTCTGTCCTCGGGTATTGCATGACACAGGTACATTTACCTACATGCAGGCATAACACTCATACACATAAAATAAAAATAATAATTTTTTTTTTTAAAAAAAGACAACTAAAGGCCGGGCATGGTGGCGCACACCTTTCTTTAATCCCAGCACTTGGGAGGCAGAGGCAGGCAGATCTCTGTGAGTTCTACATAGTTCTACATAGTGAGTTCCAGGACAGCTGGGGCTACAGGGAGACCCAGTCTCAAAAAGACCAAAAAAAAAACAACTAAAAACAAAAGCCAGAAATCAGAGCGAGGTAAACCCTTGTGCTCAGCTCCATCTCTCCTTTTTATGCAGCTCAGGGCCCCAGCCCACGGAAGGGTACCAGACAAATTTAGGGTGGGTCTTCCCACCTCAACTAATCTAATCTAGAAATCCCTCACAGGCATGCCCAGAGGTTAGTTTCCATGGTGATTCTAAATCCCACCAGGCTGACCGTCACAGGCTCCCAGGTAAAATTCACAACAGAAGATGGGGGAAGACAGCTCACCTTTAAATTTGGATCTAATGTTCGCCAGCTCCTTGTTTATCCTCTTTATTTCTGCTTCTTTACTTTTGCCTAGAAAAAAAAATAATAAATCCATTGTCAAATTGCCTCTAAAGAAACTCTCTGTCAGTGGGGCGTGGTGGCACACATCTTAAATCCCAGCATTCAGGAGTCAGAGGAAGGAGGATCTCTGCGAGATCAAGGCCAGCCTGATCTGCATATCGAGTTCCAGGCCAGCTGGGGCTGCAGGGAGACCCTGCTTCACAAAAGACAAGAAACGCACTGTCCACTGAGATCCACACTGAGAACTGATGCTAGAGTTGAGGGCGGGGCGGGGGCGGCAGGCACAAGACAAGAATGACAAGGCCCTGGGCTCAGTCTCTCACTTGAAGACAGGAAGAGAGACCACGAAAGAAGCTGCCCCAGGGCCCCAAGTCAACTGGCCTAGCACAGCCACAAGGGACCAGTACCCCATCCACAGGACAGCGATCCAGTGGGTCCACAGCATGTCCCAGAAGCAGCACCTCACACTAGGTACACTATATCCCTGGCTGTTTCTACCCATATACCTCAGCCCTGTGGCTGGAAGGCACCCAAAGCACCTGCTAGAGGTTTTCCTCAGTAAGCCATCAGCCATTGATCACTCAGATGGAAGAGCAGAACTCCACAGGCGTCCAAGTGCCTTACAAAACTCACCAAACTGCAAAACCTGGCAAGTTTACCACTCAACTTGAAGTTCGGGAATTCTACCATACAGAATAAATGGAGGAATGACAGATAGTGTTCAAACATGCTAAACTATACATGTAACGGTTACTAAAGTGCCCCTCCTTTCCAAATACCCAATATACATGTGGCTTTTAGCTTCACCTGGACCCAGGAGTGGGGGGGGCAGTGGGGGGGTTCCCACCAGGACCACTTGCTTACCACACAGATGAGGCAAACAGTATGTATTATAAACAAGTCTATGTTTAAATCACTTTTTGAAAACAGCAATAAAAACAGTTTAAAGCTCAGTAAGTAAAGGTGCTGTCACACAAGGCTGACAACCCAGAATTGATCCCCAGAACCTACATAAAGATGAAAAGAAAAAACTGAATCCCCAAAGTTGTCCTCTGGCCTCCACCTGCATGCCATGGCACATATGTACTCACATACGCAATACACACACAATAATAAATTACATTTTTTAAATATTTTATTTATTATTTTATGTGTCTGAGTATATTGCCTGCATGTGTGTAAATGCACCCATGTCATGCAATGCCCCTAGAGGTCAGAAGAGGGCGTCAGATCCCCTGGAACTGGAGTTACAAAGGTTGTTAGCTGTCACATGTTTGCTGAAAATAGAAGCTAGGTCCTCTACAAGAGCAGCCCATGCTCTTAACTGCTGAGCCATCTCTCCAACCCATTTTTTTTTCTTTTGGTCTTTTTGAGACAGGATTTCCCTGTAGCCCCAGCTGTCCTGGATTCACCATGGAGACCAGGCTGGCCTCGAACTCACAGAGATCTGCCTGCCTCTGCCTCCGAGCGCTGGGATTAAAGGTGTGTGCCACCATGCCCGGCCTCTCCAACACATTTTAAATTTTAAAAATGACCTCAAAGGGGCTGGAGAGATGACTCAGCAGTTAAGAACACTAGTTGTTCTTGCAGAAGACCCAGGTTCGAATCCCAGCACCCACATGGCAGCTAACAACTGTCCCAGGGGATCCAACTCCAAGGGCACTGCACAACATGGGTGCACTTACCTACACGCAGGCAATACACGCATACGTATAAAATTTAAAAAACAAATAAAATTTTAAAAATAAAATAAAAATGACCTCAACAATTGGAAGCTGCCAAGGGAGAGAGAAACATTCTCCTTTGAGGGTGTGGTCGCTGAGAGGCTCCAGGGGACGGCCTCACGCCTCACTCCCCTGCTCTGAGGGCAGCACTAATTGGTGTAGTGGGTTATCAAATAAAAATAAAAACAAGACCACATGAAGTTGGGAGGGGACATGCTGGGGACCAAGGGGAAAACGGGGTGGATGTGGTTATATTTCATATGTACAAGCATAAATTCATGAAAGTGTTACACACCAGTGTGCAAACCACATATGGTACCTCGTTAATTTGTATGAATTTTGTGGGGTTTTACGTGTACCTTAAAAATCAATTTAAATTAAAAAATAAAAAACAGCCATGTGTGGTGGTGCACGCCTTTAATCCTAGCACTCGGGAGGCAGAGACAGGTGGATCTCTGTGAGTTCAAGGCCAGCCTGGTCTACACAGTGAAACCCTATCAGAAAGAAGGAAAGAAGGAAGGAATTATCAAAGAATAAGAGATGATAAATAAATAAAAATAAAGGGCCTCTTAAGTCAGTCCCTAAATAGAGCTGCACTCCCAGAGGAGGGAACCCACCAGCACTGCATAACAAGAGCAAGCTGGTGCTGGCAGAGCCCCAGTACTGCCTCAGCCTGTACCCAGCTCTCAGGGCCTGGGAGCACAATGCTACTGCCCAGCTCATCTGCCGCCCAGCAGGACAGGCCCGACCATCTCTTATCTCCTACTGCGCACAGTGCTCCTGAGCAGGGCTCACTATAACTGAACTGGGAACATTCCTAGACCAGACCTGCCCTAGCAAACTCCAGGTGCACAGTGCTCAGGACAGAGAAGCAGGTTTCCGTGCAGCTAGGAAAGGCAGTCAGGCCCAGAGCCCAACTCCCTCACAGCCATAACACAGCAGGAGTTTCAGGGTCGAGGCTCCCATCTGCAGTGCCTGAGCAGCTGAAGGCTCCAACCAGGGTGGTGCAACTAGCACAGGCTGGTTCTGGTGCTGGGTGAACTGCCAGAGGCAGGCAGAGTAAGGGAAAAGTGACTTTAAGAAGTTTTCTTTCTTTAGTGGGGCATGGTGGCGAATGCCTTTAATCCCAGCACTTGGGAGGCAGAGGCAGGTGAATCTCTGTGAGTTTGAGGCCAGCCTGGTCTACCTAGAGAGTTCCAGGCCAGCTGGGGCTACAAGGAGACCCTGTCTCAAAAAAAAAAAAAAAAAAAAAAAAAAAAAAAGATGTTTTCTTTGATAAAAACCTCATGTTTGGCTGGGCATGGTGGCACACATATTTAATCCCAGCACTCAGGAGGCAGAGGCAGGCGATCTCTATGAGATCAAGGCCAGCCTGGTCTACATGGTGAGTTCCAGGATAGCTGGGACTACAGGGAAAGAGACCCAGTATCAACAAGACCAAAAATTTTAAAATAAAAAACAGCCAGGCATGGTGGCACATGCCTTTAGTCCTAACACTGGGAGGCAGAGGCAGGCAGATCTTTATGAGTTCGAGGCCAGCCTGGTCTACAGAGTGAGTTCCAGGACAGCTGGGACTACAGGGAGACCCTGTCTCAAAAAGATAAAAGAAAAAAAAAAAAAAAAAGAGAGAAAATAAAAATCTTTAGCAAAGGTGTATGTCTACAATCCCAGTATTCAGGAGGCTGAGGTTGGGGGGGGGGTGATCATGTTTGAGTGTGAGGACGTGAATGTGCAGGAGTGAGTGTGAACACACATGGGGGGCATGTGAGTATGCAAGGGAAGCAGGTACGGAAGGCTATGTGCTCAGGCAGTGCAAACAATGTGCAAATGTCACACACACCTCCTACAGCACAGCAGGACAGGGAGCTGGCAGCTAGCTCAGTCCTCAGCCAGGGTGGCAGCACCCAGCTGTTTGGGCATGGTAACTCGACAGCCCAACAGCATTCCCACAGGAAGGGAGGCCTGTCCACCCACAGACCAGAAGCAGTAGTGTCCTGAAAGCAAAGGTCATCACTAGCTCCCAGACTGTGATCCTGAAACAGAAACTTCAGAGGAAGGTGGACCCCAGGCAAAGGGGACAATTATATGCCAAGGCCTCAGGCTCGCTCTTTTTATTTTTAATTTAAAAAATTGTTATTGCCAGGCATGGTGGCGCACACCTTTAATCCCAGCAATCAGAGGCAGAGGCAGGCGGATCTCTGCGAGTCCAAGGCCAGCCTGGTCTACATAGTGAGTTCCAGGACAGCTGGAGCTACAGGGAGACCCTGTCTCAAAAAGACCAAAAAAAAAAATCGTTATTACATTGTGGTGTGTGTGTGTGTGTGTGTGTGTGTGTGTGTGTGTGTACACCACAGTGCAAATGTGGAAGCCAAAGACAACTTGAAGGACAGTTTTCTCCTACCATGTGGGACCCAGGGATTAAATGTAGGTGGTCAGGGTTGGCAGCAGGCACCTCTACCCACTGAGCTATCTTCCCCAGCCCTCAGGCTCATTCTCACTAGACCTAACCTTCCCTGTGGTTCCTGCCCTACCAGTGCCCACTGCCTCTGCTCTGTGCTGCCCTGGCCCGGCCACTCCAACTCTGCGATCCTCCCCCTGCCCTCAGTCCTCCATGGATACCTAGGTTCCATGGATACCTAGGTCTGCTCAAGGCACTCCCCGTGGTAGATTATGAGGACATCCCTGCCTCCTTCGATCCATCTGACCACAGCTTCCCCAGGAAAAAACCCACTTTTCCAAGTACAGGGGATGACCTCACTCCTTGAGGGACCTGGCACTTGTCACCAGCCTAACCCTGAGACAGTTCAAAAAGGTGAGTCCCTTAATTCACCCCTGTCCTCAAGCATCACTGGCTACAGCCCCACTGTACCTTCCACTAGCAAGTGAGGCCATCCCTCCTGGACTGCAACCCTGTCTATTACCTCCCAGCCTGGCTGCAGGCCAACAGGGATGGCCAGGGGTTGCCCTCAGTGAACGTAGGTCTGTCTCAGAAACCCCCACTTGACAGTGACTGTGAATGAACATGTAACAGACCCCAGCACCACTGCTCCAACACAGGCTCCAAGCCTGATCTAATAAAAGAGACAGCATCGAAGAACCCTACATCAGAGCGTGTGAGCAACACAAGCTGCAAACTGCCTTCCACAGGGTGCTGTCTTCCTTCCACTGAGCACACAGGTCACCAAATGCTGAACCCTGGAAATGCTAAACGGGATCCCACCAGATGAACTGCTGGCTGGGTCCACAGTACAGACACCAGCAGACCAGCCCTCATGTGCCCAGATT